AAGACATCGTTTGTCTCTGCACCAGTCTTATATCGTGTTGATTTTTCCAAGGCATTTTTTATGGAAACAGATGCATCAGATTTTGCCTTGAGTGCAGTTTTATCACAAATGGGAACAGATGACAAACTTCATCCGATAGATTTTCATTCAAGAAAATTCTCAGCAGTCGAGATCAATTATGAGATCCACGATAAAGAACTTCTTGCGATCGTGGATTCCTTTCAAGAATGGCGTCATTATCTAGAAGGCGCTTCTAGTCCAGTCACTGTGTATACAGATCACAAGAACCTCGAGTATTTCATGTCAGCACGCGTGTTGAATCGTCGTCAAGCTCGTTGGAGTATGTCTTTGTCAAGATTCGAGTTCATTATCACTTATCGGCTAGAAAAACAACAAGGTTTGTCTGATGCCCTATCTAGACATTCTTATTTTGCACCAAAAGAAGGAGATGCTGCTTTTGAGCAACAAAGAACGGTCCTCTTGAAACAGGAGCAATTTCATCTCCGAGCAATGAAATCAACATTGACTGTTGATTCAACTTTTCTTAAGCAAATCCAGTCCAGTATGTCCTCAAACCCTCTTGTTTATGATATCGAGAATAATTCTTCCAAGTCTCATGATCCTTCTAAGTTTGAGTTCAAGAATAATCTATTATATTTTGAAGGACGCCTATATGTTCCAGAAGGAGAAGCACGTTTACGTGTTCTTCAAGCATGTCATGACTTTCCAGCAACAGGGCACTTTGGATATAATAAGACTTTGGAACTCATATCAAGAGATTTTTGGTGGCCACAAATGTGGAAGTCAGTCAAAGACTTTGTACAATCATGTGATATTTGTTCAAGATCAAAAGTTCCTCGTCATCGACCTTACGGACTTCTTCAGCCATTACCTATACCAGAACAACCATGGTCTTCTGTTTCTATGGATTTCATCACAGATCTTCTAAGCTCAAGATCTTATGATTCTATATTTGTGATAGTAGATCGTTTCACCAAGATGGCACATTTTGTGCCATGTACAAAATCTATCACAGGTGAAGAAATAGCTAAGCTTTTCATTGATAATATCTATCGCTATCATGGATTACCTAAAGATATCATATCAGATAGGGGAACTCAATTTGTGTCAAGATTTTGGAGGACCCTTTTCAAGATTTTAAAAGTGGACATAAAGCTATCTTCGGCTTTCCATCCTCAAACTGATGGACAAACAGAGCGCGTAAACCAAGTCTTGGAGCAATATTTAAGGTGTACTATCAACTACCAACAAGATGATTGGACAACCCTTCTGCCATTGGCAGAGTTTGCTTATAATAATACAGTACATTCTTCCACGCAACAAACACCTTTCTTTGCCAATTATGGCTATCATCCACGACTTGATACTTTTGATTTTTCAAAAGTTGATAATCCTGCAGCAGAAGATATGGCAAATCGGTTGTCAGAGTTACATGCAATAATGAAGACGTAATTGAAGGAAGCTCAAGAACGACAAAAGATAAACGCAGATCTATATCGTAAGGAGCAACCACAAATCAACGTGGGTGATAAGGTATGGCTACTTTGTCGCAATATCAAGACTACTCGACCTTGTGACAAGTTGGACTATCGTAGGCTTGGCCCCTTTTCTGTTTCTGAACAGATCAACCTAGTTGCATATCGGTTACATCTACCGGAGTCAATGAAGATCCATCCTGTATTCCACGTGTCTCTTCTTGAACCATATAAGACAATGGATATACAAGGAAGAAGACAAATGCCACCGCCTCCTATAGAAGTAGATAATAATGAAGAATTTGAGGTGGAAGAGATATTAGACTCAAGGCGGTGCCGAAATAAGCTGGAATATCTTCTTCATTGGCGCGGATATGATATTAGTGAACACACATGGGAGCCATCTAGGAATCTAGGATATGCATCAGCTAAAGTCAAAGTTTTTCATCAACGACATCCATCAAAACCAAGATGAAAATCTCTCTTATAAAAGAGACAAGATTGAGGCAAGATAACATTCAATTTCCTATCCTTGTTTGTAACTTCTTTGCATTTGTGACGCTAATTAGATAGAGAGCCAACAACCAGCGGATTCAACTCAAGAACCTTTGTTTGTTGACCTGCCGGACGAGACATTACGATTGTCACAACCTTCAAGACGACGCAATCGAGATGAAGATCTTCAAGAACGACATGTTCTTCCTCGAACAGATGGTGAGATACAACGCGTTTGGTATCACGATTTGGGAAGGGACTCTCGATGTTTGGTGATTTTGCTAGAGGTAGGAACAACTCCTGATGGTGTTCCGAATATTCTATTCGAAGGAAGTTACGAAGGCCTCAACAATGATCAAATAACTGGGTGGTCTTCCCGCCCTGGTATGGGACACTACCGATGGTTGAGAGGCCCTATCAATTATCTTCGAAGAGAACAGAGATCAGAGTATGTGGCGAATATAATTCGTCGCATCATAGATTTCCCCAACATATGATGACCGCTCCTCGTGGAACTCGTCTCTAAAAGGGGGGGTAATGTCACGGCCATAATCATGTAAGCTAATAATTACATATAGAAATAGGTAGAAGTAAGTAAAAGTAGATAAAAGTAAGTTAATTCTATAATATTTAATATAAAAGCTTCCTAGAAACTTCCTAGACGCTGCTTTGACTTCATAGGTGTCTTTAATTGACTTTTTGGATTAGAAACGTGGTCAACAAGTTGGCCATGTGCCACACATGTTGTTAGCTTGAAGATCAAGCTAACTATGTGGCCCACACGTAGAAAAACTTGCCTTATAAGTCAAGGCATGTGTCCTACAAAGTCAACACATATTGGAGGTCCTATAGAACGTCGCCACGTAGCCCCTAGTTAGATAGTATATATAGAGACAAGAGTGAAGGCTTCTTCACTCTTGTCAACTCCTTTCTTGCTTCTAGTCTAGTTTCAAGGGTCTCTAGTTTTCTTGTCTTTTGGCAATAGCCATTCTAGTTTCTCTTTTTAATATACATACTTATTATTTATATTTTGTTACTTTTCTTTGAGTGAAGGCTTACTTGTCTGAACTGTTTTTTCATCGAGTTCTTGTCCTTGACATCTTATTTGTTGCAACACGAGTTGCATCGTGTTCACCATACATAGATCGAAACTCCGCCAAAAATGCTTCCAAATTGTCCAATATTGGATTTCGTTGTTCAAGAAAAGATGAAAACCACGATAATGCAGAACCAGAAAGTAGAGTGCCAATAAACCTGACTTGTGATCCTGGAGTTGGATAGCTTTGCGGTTGAAGTTCAATTGCCAATTGTACTTGATTGATGAACCTTGAAACTTTGATCTCGTACCATCAAATTTCTCAGGTAAGACAATTCTTGGTTCTCTAGTGCTTATAGGGTGTTGTACAATTGGAGAAGGAACGTGATTTGTTGTAGATGTTGAAGCAGCTCCGATCATCTCTATATCTCCACTTTCTGCTATTCTTGTTCTTTCCTGTGTTGGTGAATTGAGTTGATGCATCGCAAGCATTAACTCCCTCAGTTGCTCTTGCATTTGTGCCATTGCACTCTTCATTTCAACAAGCTCTGCCATAATGACACTAAGAAGAAAAATTTGTTTGATATTGCTCAAGAAAAAAGAAAAGAAAGACTTGATAACAAAGAAGATACTAAGAACAATATCAGTTTAGAAGTGGGTAATCCGCAAACTTCTAATATGCTTATGTCTTATCAAGAGAAAGGAGTAATCCACTCTTACTCAAGAAAAAACAAAGCTCTGATATTGTAAGTGTACTCTTGTCAATCTGTCAAGGACAAAGACTCGATGAGAAAAAATATACACCAAAAGGCTATCTCGATATAATAAGTCAAAATATAAACAAGTAGGTATATTAAAAGGAAACTGGAATGGCTATTGCCACAAGACAAGAAACTAAAGACTCTTGAACCTGGACTAGAAGCAAGAAAAGAGTTGACAAGAGTGAAGAAGCCTTCACTCTTGTCTCTATATATACTATCTAACTAGGGGCTACGTGGCGACGTTCTATAGGACCTCCAATATGTGTTGACTTTGTAGGACACATGCCTTGACTTATAAGGCAAGTTTTTCTACGTGTGGGCCACATAGTTAGCTTGATCTTCAAGCTAACAACATGTGTGGCACATGGCCAACTTGTTGACCACGTTTCTAATCCAAAAAGTCAATTAAAGACACCTATGAAGTCAAAGCAGCGTCTAGGAAGTTTCTAGGAAGCTTTTATATTAAATATTATAGAATTAACTTACTTTTTTCTACTTTTACTTACTTCTACCTATTTCTATATGTAATTATTAGCTTACATGATTATGGCCGTGACACATGTGCACATTGTGAAGAAAGGTAGAAAGAGGAAAGACAAATTTAGGATTTTATTTTCATTCATTAAAAAATTATAGTATTTTGACTTGAATGACTTTCCTTCCTAAAATCTTTAAATCACAAACTAACTGTCTTCTTTTTTTAAGACAACATAAGAAAAAGAAAAAGAGGATTGGCTACAAAACTTTTGCACTCCACAATATTTCCAATCTTCTTTAGACAAATACACTTCTTCTCTTCTATATAAATCATTTCATTTATTTAATTATTTGGTAGAAATCCATGTACTAATCTTCTATTGGTTACACCATCCTCTAAACTATTTCCTCCCAATTATTCTTCTTTATCTCCCACTTCCTAGCGTGAACGGAAATGACAAGAACACGAACCTTTTTTTTTTTAGAAACAAAAGACTAAAGTAAGAATTTAGAAAAGATAAACCCTGATCAGTATGGTACTAGGGCTGCTGCCCCTTCTGCCCGTGGAACAGCGGACAGCGCGATCAATCCCCGTCCAGCATTTGTCTCCCACGACTGAGGTTCTCCGAACCTTCCTAAATCCCATGACAAACAATGACAGAGATGGAGGACACAAGTGATTAAATGCAGATGAACCCTAAAAAGGAATGGGAATGTCGCCCGAGTGTTGGAAAATGGGTGACGAGAAGATGCGATCCGCGCAGGACCCACAACGCCACATCAGTAATTCCCCCCGTTGGATGAATAACCCAATTGTTACAATACAGAATTTTTGTGGATGGGAACTCTAGACGGCGGTGGACAGAGCGCGGAGGAAGATGAAGACGGGACCGGGAGCTGAAATGAAGTCCACTGTGGTGAAGCAGGAGAAAGAGGAGGAGGAGGAGGAGCTGATTTTGGGTAATGTTTTTCCGATCATCTGCATTAATGGGTCCACACCCAGATGCCGCAATTAAGCAAACCACGTTATGCGCCAATCAATCCCCATCAATGACGCATCTCTGCTGTTGTTGCAGGATCCATAGAAGCGCAGGATTAGTGGGTGTACGCTCCTGGTGCAGGCCAGAGTGCAGGTTCACTCTTGCTTTTCCCCGCTGATGCGACTGGTGCTGGTGCTGCTGCGGGTGCCGTTGCCGGGCGTGGCTTGCAGGTTAACGACGACGCCATGGCCTGGCGCGGCACAGGACCCAGCTCGCCAGCGTTTACCCAGGAGGCAGCAGCAGCAGCAGGAGCGCGTTGGTGCAGGGTTCAGGGCCATGGCGTCGACGAGGCATTGCTTCAGTGCCCTGCGTCCCTTGTTGTGAATGCGTAATCCATTACTACAGTTGTCGCTAGCCGAGGAGGAGGAGTCCACCCGCTTGCGTCCCTCAGTGCTTTCATGTGTTCGACTGGCTCGCGTGACCCCACCATCTCCTTCGATCGTTGTCGCGTGTGTTTTATGATAGATCGGCTTTCTTCTTCTGGAACCTGGTAGGCCGCAATCTTGTACAGGAGCCCACCTTTAGGGACTTTTTCGGGGGCAGTACCAGGAATAGGAGGCATTTATGGTGCCATCCAGAGTAGGAACCTTTTCTTTTCCCTCCTGATATTGCAGAATAAAAAGTCCAAGTGCAGTTGATGATTGTATGCATCTCCCCGCCCCCCTACCCCCCTCCTTCCCCTGAGACCCGTGTGCGTGTAACGACGCTGCGAGAAGCGTAGCACGAGATGTTTAGTTTTTCCAATGTTGGGAGCTCGATGTTTTGCTTTCTGTTATTTTTTTTACTTTATGGGTGGTCATGGTTATGAGTGTAGCTGTAGTACAATTAGAGCTGTCGAGGTGGTAATGTAATCGTGGTGGTGGTGGTGGTAGCTGATGGCGAGGGTTGTAGAGCGGTTGCTGATTATGATAGCCGCAGAGTCGCTTTCGTTTGCCACGCTTACTGTATGTGAAGGCTGACCTTCTCTCTCTCTGTCTCCCTGTCTCGTCAATCAATCCAGTGGCCTCGCAGGCCCTACGCCGTAGTTTCCAGCTTTCTTTGGCTGTGCACTTCTGGCAGGCGGTTTGCAAAGCTGGGTACACAATATATGCTCGTTGTTTAAGCTGTGATCTGAATACATGAGCTTATTAATCCTCGTTTACCTTCTTTCCTGTACAAGTCCGAGTGAGTCTGTCATCCTCTCAGCTCAGAGTTCTTTCGTAACCTATTCGGAGGACTGTCGATCTGTTGCAGAGCCGAAGGCAAATTGGTTTTTCGTCGAGAGTTTTCTTTTCTTTTCTTTTCTTCAATATGGTTTTTCATTCCGCCTTCACCTTCTGAGTGATTTTCTTACTCATCGCATCAGCTGTTGTATCCCTACCCAGCATCTTGGTTCTTCGTTCCGCAAACTGTATGGCCTCTCCTCCTCTCTTGGTAGACATTGCAGACTCTGATCGAAGCTCTTTCGATAGGTACCTGCAGCTCTTCATATCGAGATCGATGAAATGAAGTCTTCCAAAATCAGAGGCGCTGTTAGAAACTTAGAAGGAACTACAATGTAGGATCGGTTTTCAGTTGGAGATTGGCTGCGGAGCCACGGAAATATTACTGAAGTTGACAAACGTTTTGGAGGGATATGGGCCAGCCAGGAACAGGGACTCCAGCGCTGAAGCTTTCTGGAAACAGAAAAATGAAGCTTCATTTGTTGCCCGGGGCTGTGTCAGCAGAGTTGGCCATTGCAGAGAAAGAGGGCTTGCGGGCTGATAACTCAGATAGCTTACGAGGCCATTTTCGTTCTTTGAGGTGAGACCTTCATTGTCTTACTAATACATATTCAGTCTCAAGAGAGACGACTGTAATTGGTAATGGATTGTATGCATTGACCTTTATTGGTATCTGTTGCTGAAGTATGACAATCTTGTAGAAGCTTGTAGTAACACTCCTAGGCAATGCCAATGTTTCAGTGCCCCAGAGAAGGCTTCGAAGCAATCATCCTCTTGGGATTTTTCTCCTCGCGGTTCTCTGAATCAAGCACTAAAGGAGGTAAAGCTTCATGTGACACAGCTCCTTTTCTGGGTGCTTTTCTTTCAACTATCTTCGACACCAGAGCCGCATCAAATGTGAATGAGAATCAAGGAACCAATGCTCTTTTGGGAGCGCTGATTTGTCTCACTTTTGTGCTGATATCTACATGTATTGGACTTTCTCACAGAGCATACAAAGCTGGAGGTGGAAGATGAAGTTCAAGGGCACAGAAGATAGGAAGAAAAGGGTTCTCAACACCCGCCGAACTGCGCTTGAGAATGATGTAACTCACACACCAGTTACTACTGTTGTTTGAGTAATTCCTGTTCTAATTGGTTGAGGTTGCATGTAAATTATCGTTGATGAGCACGACAGATGCTCTTCTCTCATGACAATCGCTCTTGGAAGTTGTAGGTAGCTAAGCTCCAGACCAAGCTCGAAGACGAGAAAGCTGTGAGGCAAGGTCTTGAGAGAGCGTTGGGTGGGGTTGAAGGCATATCACCACCTCAAATTTCCCTTCCCAATCTAGATCCTCAAGTAAGCTGGTAGCAAGCTCCATTATCATTTCCAAATCATGCATGAAAGCCCAGCCCTGTTTTTGTGAATGTTCGTCTGTGCAACTGAAAAGCACTAATTTGGTGCTCGAATGTTTGGCAGACGCAGAAATTAATCACAGAAATTAGTTCACTTGAGAGGGAAGTCACGCACCTGGAGCAACATGTCTTAACTTTATACCGGAAAGTGCTGGACCAGAAGCTAACAGATCAACGGCAAGGAAGTCGCTCGGAGCCTTCCAGTCCGTATGGCCACACGGAGAAGAAATACGCCGTGGCACAGCGTGGGGAAGCACGGTACAAAGCAGAGAAGAAGATGAGGGATCCTCAGCCCTGTAATGTATCTCCACAACACCGACGGAATGGTTCAGCGGCAGCTTCACAGGGCGCCAAGCGACCACACTCAGCGATCTCAAATGACCTCCTCAAAGCCCGCCATACCTCTTTGCTCGGTGGCGGTTCCCACTCTATCGACGAAGAACCCCGAGAGAAGCAGGACTTTTCGAGAGATCTACCCATCGTAAGCTCACAAAGCCCATGTACTTCTGTGTGTATTTTATCGTCTTCCGAGCAACCTGAGCCTCCAAGGCTTCTTGCTTACGTGGACATGAGTTTTTTTTTTTTTTTTTTTTTTTTTTTTTTCCCCCTCGCTGCAGGTCTCCAACGAAAAAGCTACACCGCCGAGGCGCTCAGTGAGTGCATTTAACCCTGGAAAGGTTAGTGATCAGATCCTATGCTACAAACTGGGCTTGAACCAACCTGCAAAGTTTGACATGGTATGCGTGGGCTGCTCAGTTTTTAAATTTTTGAATCCGAATATGAACGTGCATGAGCAGGCATATCCATCCTTCCAAGTAGTATCCATTCCTGAACATTTCAATCGCAAGAGCGTGAGCAACGCATCCGACACGTCGACCGATCCAAATGACAGCTTGGAAGAGCCCGCCACTAACCCAAACAAGCTGTCCGAGGAGCTAGTTCGGTGCATGGCCGCCATTTACTGCAAACTCGCGGACCCTCCGTTGCCAAAACTGGTTGCTATCTCTCCTTCGTCTTCGACCTCGTCCACCACAACTGCTTCTTCGTCTCATGATGTTTCCAACGGTAGTTGGAGCCCCCGCTGGAGGACCGAAAGCGCTAACTCATGCGAATTGTCTGGAGAGCTGCCGAGCAATGCATACAAGGACCACCACAGGGAAGGCAGCTCAGGTTTCTGTGGCTCCATGGTTGAAGTTCCCTGGATTTGTGTCGATAAAGACCGTCTTACGTATGCAGCTCGTGCTCTTCGCAACTTCAGGTAAGAAACAATCGCCTGTTTCTTCAGAGGATACATGATGGAGATTTACTTTTATTGAACACAGCTGTACGCTTCCTGTTGCCTAACAGATCATTTTGCGGTACAGAACAATGGTAGAGCAGCTGGAGCAGCTGGATCCGGGGCAAATGAGTCATGATCAGAAGCTTGCCTTCTGGATCAATGTTTACAACGCCCTCATGATGCATGTAACTTCCAATGTTCAATTCACTCTCATTTATTTGTAATTAGTCGAATAGGGGACTATATATTTTTTTTAAAACTTCATTTCAGCACCGATTACTGTTGCTTAACTTTGTGTTGATGCGTCCATGATAGGCATATTTAGCCTATGGAATACCGCGGAACAGGTTGAAGCAGTTGTCGCTGCTGCAAAAGGTGCTCGACATTCCATCTTCTCATTGAATCCTGCATTGACCCCCACTGAAAGTCGTCTCAAGAGGCAGATTTCGTCGCCAATCCTGATATGTCTTGATCACTGGTTGTGTGTGCAGGCCGCGTACAAAGTGGGTGCTCACTCGATCAACGCGCAGACCATCGAACACATCATCCTCGGCTGCCGCTCCATCCGTCCGTCACAATGGTTTCATTCCCTTCTATCGCAGGCCACGAAGTTCAAATCCAGCGACGAACGGCGCGCTTACGGGTTGCACGCACCGGAGCCGCTTGTATGCTTCGCGCTTTGTTGCGGGGGTCGCTCCGACCCTGCGGTGTGTTCGCAAACCCTAAACCCTATTTTCCATTCTAAATCACCCCCCCCCCACGACATCAAAATCCAAAATCTAACCGCCGCTCTTCCATCACATTCACAGATTCGCGTGTACACAGCCAAGAACGTGAAGTCACAGCTCGAATCAGCCAAGCTGGAGTTTCTGCAAGCGAACGTCGTGATCCGCGGCGAAAGCAAGGTAACGAAACCCTAATTTCATCGCACCTTTGGATTTCGTTAATTCAATGAGGCGGGCTCCTCACAGACATCACCAGCAAACCCATGTCTCGTTTGTGATCGCGTTGCTGTTGCTGTTGCCTGCTGCAGGTTCTATTGCCTCGGATTCTCGAGTGGTACGCGCGCGAGCTGGGGCTGAACCCGTCGACGTTACTGCAGCTGGTGTACCAGAGCGTGCCGCTGGAGATGCAAGCTCGCATCCGGCAATGCATTCAAGCCAAGCCCCACAAGAGCCCCGCGCATTGCCTGCAATGGATCCCTTACCACTTCGGATTCCGCTATCTCTTCGTCCGCGAGCTCGCGCTCCAGTTTCCCGCTTCCGCCCAGTAGGGCGCCGTATCTGATAGTGACCTGGTAGCGTCCTGGTAGTGTTCCGGTAGCTCTCTGGTAGTGCCATGGTCGTTTTCTGATAGGCCCTTGGAAAGGTTCTGATTGCTTCCAGTTGAGTGGTGGCAATTCGCACTTGTATTCAGCTGTCATTGAAATGGCGAGATAGTTTGTGAATGGAATTAATTTGGAGAGATGGAGTTGGTGCAAATTGGTGGAAAAGAGGATTAAGAGAAATAGGGGCTTACTTGAACTCTTGCTTATACACTCACACATACATGTGAATGTGTGAATTTATTGTGCAAGGGTGGCAAGTGCGGGCCTTGGCAAAACCCAATTGATGAAAGGAAAGGAAAGGAAAGGAAAAAAAAAACAAAACAAAAAAACAAAAGTAGATAAGATGTGTAATGTTGGATGAATTCTAGTTTGAAGATTTTTAAATTGTTGTTATTTTGTAACATATTTGTTAGGAAAGTTTGATAATCTCTTTGCATGATCAAAATTGTGAATATAATTTATTTTAGTGAATCCCAAACAAATTAGACATTATAATTAGTTCACTGGAAAATACGTAGTTTTTAAATCATAAATATAGTATGAAAAGTAATATACATATATAACTCTTCTCTAGGGTATTTTTAATGTCACCACAAATTTTGCTATTGCCGCTGTAATCTCATGAAAATTTAGTTAAATTTTGGTCTTAATTTTCTTTTTGCTATTGTTGCCACAATTCTGCCTTTGTGGTTCAATATATATGTTAGAAATATACTGATTGGAATAAAAGAATGCAAAGAAATATGTCAAATAGGTGGTAGTGGCAGCAACAAAAATTGTGATAACATTAACAATACTGTGTATATATATATATATATATATATATGTAATACGTGAATGTGTATTAATACCAATCTTTGTTTGGTGGATGTAAATATAAAGATACTCTTTGAATACATAATATAAAAGATTAAAATATAATACTAGTTTTAAAAGAAAAAAATTCAAATATGCTATGTCGGATTTATGGAAGAGATTGATCAAAAAGTTTTAAAAGTTGAGTTGTGGATTTGGATTGCATAATCAATCTCAAATTAATTAAAAATACCCCAAGTACCTAGAATTTTTTTTAAAGATTAAAAATATTGAGAAGATTGATTGATACATTAAAAAAAAGAAAAAAAAAGAAAAACTCAAGACATTATATTATATTTCAAATGAAAAATAATCACTCAAAGAATTCAGATCAATACATGTGATATTTCAAAACAAAGATAAGTGTATGAATACAAATTTATTTTTCTAATTTTATTTTGATATAAATAAATAAATAAATATTTATTGGCAATAAACACAATTCAAAGTAAAAATGCACTAAAATCACACCAAATTAAGCATCATTGTTCACAATTTCATTAATTCTACAAAAAGTAGAGGAATGTTGAAAATCTGTAAAATAATGATGGATCAAAGAATTATTCACTTAATGTTTTTCAAACCAGGGTTCTATATATGGCTGTATATATTTATTTATCTTAAAAATTCATATGTTTCAGCATAACAGAAGTTGCAAAAGATTATTTCCAAGTTGCAGATTTTGATGTCAATGAGACATGGATATATATTTCTACATACATCATAATTGTTTTTATTCGATTAAAAGTAGCTATGAACTTTGAAGTGCATCAAGTACATGTGAAAAAAAATCTCTCTGCATATAGAAAATTAAAAAAACACCAACAACAATCCATGTAATAAAATTTGAAAATTTGAAAATTTGAAAAAAAAATATATATATAGAAATCTCATGTAAACTTTACAGTTGTTTTATGAAGTTTTGATGTGTTTGAATAGGTGTACATTATCTAGTAATAATATTTTAAATGATATGTTTATAATTATTTTGGATTTCAACTTATTTTTATAATTATATAGAAAAATTAAATAAGGAATTAGGTATCTTATGATACTATAAAGAACACAATAGAAGACTTGCACATAACTCCAATAGCTATACGTAACAATTGTTTTTCAAAATTGCTAAAAAGTTACAATACATGAAGCTAATTCTTTACAAAAATTAAAAACCTAAGAAAATTTGATTAATATGAATTAATTATAGGTGCTGACACATCTATAGTATAATCTTGATGTTAAAGTGTGTTTAATTAGATTAAAAAGATCCAATAGAAAAGAATCGAAAGCAAAATAAAAAATCAAACAGACTCAAGACTTAGTAGTCAATCTATAAACATGGAGCAATAAAACTTTCATTATTGTCTTAAGATTCTTAAGATTTGATTGAAACTCAAATCATGTTATTTTTTCTTACTAATTGAACTGTATAGTTTTTAAAAATTTCAAGAAGATATATGGTGATATTTTAATAAATAAATACTAAAGTGAAGAAAATCCAAAAATTTGTAAAAATCCTTATTATCATATTTTCTTTGCGGAATTCCAGATATATATATGGGAAATTACCTATAGCTGTAAACAAAGCAATGAGACTTGATTTCTATTTATAGAAATTAAACATACTACGAATAAATAAAAAAAATTAAAAACACTAGATGTAAAAATATGCACATTACATAAAATATTTATGGCTATTTAAATAATTCAACCAGAAAATATTTATGTAATTTAAAATCTTAAAAACCAGACTAATTTAAGAAATAAAAAGGAAAAAAAAACATGAAAAATAAATTATTCTACATCCAAATGATTTGATTTTTCATAATATTTTTTTTTCAGCTTATTATATAAATATTTTTTAAAAATTATATAATGTAATAAGTTTATTTTCTTATGCCAGTTATAAACTTATCCACATTGGAGGAATAATAACTAAAAAATATGAATTTTGTGCAAACGTTTTATTTTTTAAAACATATAATTTTAAAAATATTTACCTATATTAATAAGAAATAAAATCAGTAATTGCATACAAATATGCTTGTATTTGCCTAGTTCTTCTTTGCTTCTTATACCCCATTTATTCCACATGATTTTGAATAGATAGTTATCAAAGTAATAACAATAATAATAATAATAATAATGTTTGTTATTAAATCTCGAATATGTAGTACCAAAATAAAAAACTTGTGTTTCATTTAAAATGATAGATTTCTGAGATTGCTTGTATAATTGAGCAGCTACTTCAAACCAATTTTGCATCATCATCAAACATCTTGTACATAGTAACATACTTTACTCATTTCATTTATTTTTAAAGAAAGAATACATTCTAATGGAATATCAAGTTACTCATGGGAGTTGGATGGGCTTTTCAAAGAAACCAAAGAAAATGGGTTCTATCCGCATATATTCTCACAAGGCACAAAGATTTTTCTCAACCCTTTTTAGTTAGAAGTGGATAGAGATCATACTATTCATACTATTATGTGTGGAATATGGTTGCATATCTCATGGATGTCATCTATCTTATAAGTGCAACTAATGGACATCAATCATCTATTTCCATCAAAATCATGAAACTCACCACTTGTGGTCAAGAAAGTTATAAACAATTAATAAAATTTCAAATTAACATGATGTTGGAATAGACAAAAAAGCAAGATTTAATTTTAGAATACTAAAAATAATCTTATAAATACTTGTTATGAACTACAGTAGAAGATCACTAAAGAGAATAGACTTCACATATAGTTACAACTTTTATTATATCCTGAAAAAAAAAAAAAAAAAAAATTGTAAACTGTAAATTGAAAATTAAAATAATTTTTAAAAAATAGATGAAAACATTATCATTTATTAAAATTATGAAGAAAAAGCTCATTGGTTTTTATGGTATATGTTTTAAATGTTGAGGAATTTAAGAGAATTCAGATGGTGAACACATTATGTTCTCATGGTTTTAAGTTTTATTTTACAATAACACCAAGACTTTGTGGAATCTTGGTCCAAAGAGACATTGAATGATGCATTTGATCTCATAAATATTTTCTAAAATCATTGTTAAAATTCAAAAATTCTATAACAGTGATATTATATAACTAATTTAATTTAAAATCAATTGATATAAATAGAAAACCTAAAAATATTTTGATTTTTAAATTCAAATAATTGATAAATTTGTAATATGAATTAAAATTCAATAAAAACTTTCTAACACTCCTCTTAACACACACTTATTCACTTCTATGTGTTTGAAATTTCTTGTTTCTATACCTTTTATACACGTCCGTATTATGCTATATATATATATACATATACATATACATATATTGTAATCAAATGTTGGATAAAAGAGAAAACCCCACCCTATATATATATATATATATATATTTATCAAACATAAGTTTATCCACCACATATATCAAAAAAGTAAACCTAACCTTGTTGTGAAAATTCCTTTGGAACATCATTCATCCTCGTGTTTTAAAGGTTTCCTCACATGTGCTTGCCATCACTGCAGAATTTAAAAAGCCTGTAGCTCTTTCTTTATAGAAATATATATATATATATATATATATATTTAGGGAAATGAGTTCCTGGTTAGAAAAGTTCTCGGCAACTTTCAAGTATATTTGGTACAAGTAAATAAAGCAACCGCACTCCACAGAAAAAAAAATTATATATATATATATATATATATATATATATAAATAAATAAATAAATATATAGGCAGTGTATGATACCAACTATCAGTTGAGAACTTATCGCAACCAAGTACTTCTCAATAGCATCCTATTTCATTCTTGCAAATTGTCAATCTTTTTGTATTATTTCACAAGCACATACCTTCATCCAAAAAATGGATTAAAAAAAAAATTAAAAAAAATTCATGCATGGCAATTATTTTGTATATATAAGTAGAGACCAATTCTACATGTATTTAGTAGAAATTAATAGGAATTTTTATTGCAAGTGGTATAGTTGAATTAAGAATTTTGAATTAGCACAAACATTGCCTTAGTTTGGATGGATGAAAGTGGACACAAATGTTGAAGGTTTAAAATTTAGACCTCAAAAATAGCATGAAATTGAACCACTTGATAAGATTGTATCTGTTTTGGTGTAAAAACAATCAGTTTTTGCCTCAAGTTTGATACTATGCTCATGCCTACAACATTAAGTATTGCCACCAATTCAATTAGTCATTTTGAAGCTTCTCTTACAATGATAATTGTAACATTTTTTTTTTTTTTTTTTTTTTTTTTTGCGGCCATGTAACATACCAATAGAAGAAACAATACTTACATGGAAAGTGTTGCCTTAGAAGGATGATCTTAATAGGGAAGAGCTTTTAGAATTAAGGATTCAACAATTGAAAAGAAGATCTAAGGATATTGAAGTCGCAATAGAGAGGTTGAAAGAAATAAGGAAAAAGAATTAAGAAAGATTTGATAAAACACATTAGCTATAGCCTAAAACAATTGAAGAAGGGGATTGGATTTTAGTCTTTGACAATAGTTTGGATAATCAGCATAGTACATTACAAAAATCTTCTAAGCATTGGTTTGGACCATATGTTGTAATAGAAGTCTATGATAATGGTACATACTTGTTACAAGAATTTGATGGAATAAAATAAAAGACACTTATAGTAGGCAAGCAGATCAAATTATTTAAAAAAAGAGGTATATATATATATATATATATATATATATTGATGAAGAACAAAATCTGTTAAGTGATATTAAAATGGGAGTGAAGGAACAAATTGAAGACCAAGAATTTGACTAAAATGAAGAGTGTCCTACATCAACATATTAAAGAATCATTGGTACATACTAAAAGATGTACATGTTTAGAGGAGGTAGATGTTATGTAGTAACATGGCCATTATGTGAAAGAAAAAAAAAAATATATTGTAGAAGAACTTAAATGAAAATATTTTAGCAAATTATCTTTGAAATATAGATAATAGATAAAGAGATAATAAAAATTAATAAGTGCTAACACTACCTTTTTATGGAAGAGACTTCTATTTACTTTATAGAAGTATAAATGAGCCAAATAAAAATAAATTAGATAAATAATTAATAAAGGTATCTTTAGGAGATGTATTTAGTAGGTTGATTTAAAATAATAATAAAAAAAAAACACAATTTTGAGGATTTTGTGAGTGTCAAAGCATATTTACAAATAAAATTTTTTAATTTATTATTGTGTTTGTCTTAAATGTGTTTATGAAATTTGATGTTAATCAAACAGTTAGATTGATGATTATGAGAGTTTTTGTGGGTTTTGGTCTCAAATAATTAAAATTCAAGGTCAATGAAGAATTTTTGCAATCTTGTAACATGTGCTAGTTTGATTGAAACGAAAATTGGTGACAACTATTTAAACTTAGAATTCTATATTCTAACTAAGTTTTAAAAAAATTAAATGGCTCAGCAAGGGAAAATCGCTATTGGAATATCAACATTTGGGTCACACAAGGAAGGTAGTCAATATCTGTGTGGTTTAGGAGCTTTTTCTTTCAAATTGATGATTTGATTTTCTTCAAAATTTATATTCTTGTTAATTGCTTGTGGATTGAAATGTGAATAAAATTTTAGTTAAGATCAAAGATTCATTGAATATTTATTGAGGTTTTAAAACAACTATATAATTGATTAAGATTTACTTAAGATTTTCTTGGGATTGTTTAGGATTTACTTAAGATTTAGTTAGGATTTTGGATTTAATTAGGATTTGGTCTAGGATTTAGAATTTGGTTAAATTTGATTAGGACTACATTAAAATTTGATTAGAATTTATCTAGGATTTACTTAGGATTTATTTAAGATTTCTATTTTAGTATTTATTATTACTTAAGGTTTTTTATTTTTTTATTCCTTTAAGATTTCTTTATTATTATTTTTTTAGATTAATTTATGAATTTTTAATTTTTCTTTTGTAATTTCTTTTAAATTTCTTTTGAATTGGTTAAAGTTTGATTAAGATTATTAAGGATTACTTAGAGTTTATTTTAGATTCTATTAAACTTGGTAGGATCTTGTTGTTGTATTTTTTATTTACCTTCCACAACTAGTTTCCCAATGCATTTTCAAGCAAGAGTTTACATTATTTGACAACATTTGGACATTTTATTTGACATTCAAATAAAAAAAAAAAATAATACAAGTTTATTCTAAGTATAATTTCAACGTGGTTTTTATGTCTCTACCAAGTTAATTGAACATCTACTAACCAAAAAAAGAAATTAATTTATATTTAAAAATAAATAAATAAATAAATAAATAAATAAATAAATAATGTCTCATCACATTAAAAAACATAGGTATCCAAAATTGTTTTATTATTATTATATATATATATATATGTAATTTAAATCAATACTTTCAAATTCAAAATACAACTCTTATACTTAATATAAAAAAATTAAAAAAATCTCTTAATCAAATTAGCTAACAAATAACTTTAATATAGTCTACCTAATTGCCAACCACCCAACCACCTAATTGTCATAAAACATTCTATTTAACACACATCAAATAAATTTTATAGGAAAATGTTAAATAGATCCATGCTTTTATGAAATAGACCTACCCTTAATGAAGAATATGATATTCAAGATGAATGTGGTTGATTTTTATTGGTTGCAAATCCAATAGTAGAGAAATAAATCCAAAGGTTATTTATTTATTTATTTATTTATTTTCATGATGGTTAGAATGGATCAATTTAGTAAAAACTTCGCTCTATTTTACATTCATTATATATATGTATATATATATAGTGACGTGTAAACAAGGCACACACAGTAAACCATATTTAAACTCAAATAAATAATCCTGCAGGCATAAGAAAGGGGGTAAATTTCCAGGGCATAATACCAACCACAGCCAGAGTCAACGCGGTGAAAGAGGCCACGGTGACAAGGTCCATCCGTTCAGCCTTGACTTTGACAGGACGATCGAATTGCAACCCAACAAGGGAACACGGGCCGCACCGGGTCGGGACCGGCCCGCTCAGTCTCATGGCGGAGGACCATGGCGTCGCAGCTACAGTGCGGAGGTGATTGTATGTAATCGCCATAGCTCTGCTCAAATCCACTCTTCTTCTTAACAATTTGTATGTCTGACCTGTTTAATTAGCAATCCTGGCTCTGATTCGCACTGTGCTCCAGTTTCTGAACAGTTCCTTTCTCTTTTCTCGCTACCCAGGTGAAGAAGCTAGTAACCTGCTTTTGTCCTCTGTCTGGTACTGATCCTGGCACCTTTTCAGAGGCACTTTGGTTGTTTGTTCTGCGTGGTGTTAGTGTAGGTACTTGGTGCTGGGTTGTGTATATTCTGGACTGTATTTTCTGGGGGTGGTTTGTCGAAATTGGGTTTGGATTGGGTTTGTTTGAGTTTGGTTTAAGTTGAGTTTGAGTTTGAGTTTGTGTGTTATTGAATGTTAACTTGTTCGAAGGTGGGTTGCTTTTGAGGTGATGTGAGTTTTAGCACCCGGTGCTGTGAGGTTGCAAGGTTCTGCATTCGTGTCTAGTGCAGGGTTGCGGATTCTCTGAGTGGTTTGGAACGAAGCATTTCCATTCTCTCTTTTCTTTGAAGGTGTTTGTTTTTGTTTGTTTGTTTGTTTTTTTACGAAAGAAAGTTTATGAAGTTTTTGGTCGGTATGGGACGGTGGTATAGTTTTTAAAGTGATTGACTTTGGCTTATATCAACTTGGCAATCATTTCAAAGCTGTTGCTGTGGCTACTATTATGTAATGAGCTCTCACATCCTAAGTAATAGATCATCCTAAGATATTGGACCTCACCTTCCTTGTTAGCAATCCATACAGGTGCTTTTTTTTGTCAAGAATGCAGTGATCTTATCCGTGATCGAAGCTGCTTTGACTTTCTTGTTCCTACCATCGTTCTACCTGGAAGGATTTCTGAGATACTCAATTTGCAGATGAGCACTGACTGGGTTTGGGATAAACTGTGCGTTGGTGTTAATCGGCTCTACCCAGTTGTTTCTAACGCTTTGACATGTGAGGCTTCCATCATGACGTTATAATGGCAGCCTGGACATCAATCAAGAAGGTCATCTTTTTACGTTTGGAGGGAGTGAAGTCCGAAAAGTGCGAGGCAATTTCTCTACTTCACAGCATTTCCTTCTCATTGTTGGGTTCTTACAACTTCAATTTGAGCTACTATTGTATAATAAGCTTTGAGGCCATCAGTCCACAAAAATCGTTTCTTCAGATTGTTCTTTGAGGACTCTGAGTATAGTAATTTGAGGATAAATTAGCTGCCTATGTTTTGCAGGTTGTAAGTTCCTAATCAGCTACAGTGTAATGGCGTCGTCGACAACAACCCGCAACAAGGCTGCCGGGCCTCAGGATTTGGAGGTGAGGTGTGCCATTGTGCTTGAAGTAAAGATGCTAGGATTTGTAAGATGTGGGATTCTACAAGTTATGGATTATATAGTACAAATGCGTGGAAGTTGGTGAGCTGGTTGGTTTATGGTCCCAGCAGAAGCGTTTCAAAAGGCGTGGCACTGATGTTATTAAGTCTAATTCATGGTGTGCGAGTGCAGACAATATCGAGTGCTGCAGCTACTTCAGAAGCACAGTCAAAGAATTTGAAGTTGGTGTTTGTCACTGGTATGTCAACGCTCTATACAACTAAAGTGACCTACTTGGCAGGGTTCATCACAGATTTGTCGAAACATATATACACACACACACATATATATATATATATATATATATATCAGTGTGTGTGTGTCAAATTTAGTTTTACCTGATGAGTTAGACGCTGTCGATACACCTTTCTGATGTGCCCCGCTTGCATTGTCCGACAATACCATTCATTCCGAGAACTCGCTTGAATATAGGAACCTTTGGTGATTAGTCTTGGATACCTTTTTGATTAGTTTCGGTGAAGGGATTCGTTGTGCTAAAATTTTCTGAGGGCCAGGCGTTTATGTCTCATAGATTTATCGTGTGCTTGATGTAAACAGGTGGACCAGGAAGTGGGAAAGGCACACAGTGTAACAAGATCGTCGAGCACTTTGGGTTTGAGCACCTCAGTGCAGGCGAATTGCTGCGTGCTGAGCAGAACTCTGACGGTGAAATTGGGTATGGTATCATTCATTCGTCTAAATACTGCTGTAAACCCGTACAACATGTGTTTCTAAGGTCGCATGCTATTTATATTTCACTTTGTAAACCTTATTTGCAGACCACTCTTCATCATATTCTTATCCATCATTTTACACTAGATTTGCGCTTACGTGTCTCTCTTTTCAAAACATGATCTTATTAATGAGGAACTTTCATCTCGTCAGGAAAATGATTAAAGGCCTAATTAATGAAGGAAAACTAGTACCGTCGGAAATGACCGTGAAGCTTATTCTGAACGCGATGTCGAAGTGCTCCAATAACAAGATCCTGATTGATGGCTTTCCACGGAATGATGAGAATCGTGAGGTTTGGGATCGTGTGGTATGTTATTGCGTAGCTGTTTTTTTCATTTACATCCAATTCTTCAAAACCAAATTGCTTGTTTATTTTCAGGATGTATGTAATAAAGTTTCACGTTTTAACATTGATTATTGAGGAAGGATGGATATAAGCTCCTTGGGAATAAACTGGAAGCTTTGTTGCAATTGTAGCTACCAGAATCTTTGAGCGTACTGTTTTTTAAGCTAGTTGTCCAATATTGTGATGTTTGTAATGGTGTAATGTTGCGAAACATTCGCAGGCCGGACTTAAACCAGAGTTTATTATCTTCATTACTAGTTCAGAGGAAGTGATGCAAAATCGACTTCTCAGCCGAAATGAGGTTATTTCACCTGCAACTTTCCGAATTAATTTAGCTCGCAGCTGCGTTGTTCTTTTAATATTGTAAATATTAAAATCAAGCCGTGAGTTTCTTACTAAAATGAACGTGTTTGGAGTGTTTTATGTCTGGAAACAGGGTCGAGATGACGATAACCTCGAAACCATACGCAAGCGATTCAAATTATTCAATGAACAAACTTTGCCTGTTATAAAACACTATGAGTCCATAGCCGCAGTACAGAAGGTGAATTTGCAGAACTTGAATATTTGGTACACCTTTGGTTTTCCCCAACTTCTCAACCTTTACTGCTGACAAGCACCAGTCAAGAGAAAACTCCTGAGCAATGGCCAGACCTTGGTTTTTTTGATACCTACCTCTATCACCTTCTTCCTCAGAAATTTCGGTGATCTGCGTGATCCTTGCGTTCAAATCCCAGATCGTCAAAATGAGCTGTGATCTTGGTTGATCTCATCCGCCTTTGCAACAAGAAACTGGCAGTTGATCATAATTCTGGTGTTGCAGATTAATGGCATGCAGTCTGTTGAAGACGTCTTTGCTGAAATTCGACCATTGTTTAATCCAATTCTACAGGTACAGCAACAGCTTTTCAACCCTTTAGAAATTTTCATTTAGTATCATACTCAGTTTTCACTTCTGACCTTTCGTTAGCATCCTAAAGAAAAGCCTCTGAAGCTAATGTTTATAGTCGAGAACCTACTCAACAGGAAGAGCTTCTTCAAGCAACTGCCGACCTCTTGACAGGCCTCGATACAGGCAACTACAAAGCGTATAAGCGCTATTGTCACCCTGCATTGTCTATATTTGAGCCTGATTCTCAAGGTAAGCAACAATAGATAGTACAGACATTTATAAGGAATTTGCAATTTGAGTACATGTGCATTAGCAGTCTTACTTCCAGAGAGTTTATTGGTACTTCTAGATAACAATAATGGAAGAGGTGAGGTGCGAGTGATTGCAGGTCAGCTTGTAGAAGGAATGGACCTACGCAAATTCAAGTTCAACGTAGGATCAGTCACCGACCGGCTGACTCTCACACAAAGGCTTCGCTCCACTGTCGTAACTCCCAAAGTTTCTATTCTAGGTGCCGAAGTGGCGCTTGTATCATATACCCGTGTCTTGAAACTCCATAGCCACCCAGACGATGGAGACGTTGAAGCTTACAATGAGACGGGGGTGTGGCAACGGCTGAAAAGTGACGATGGTTGCAAGAACTGGAAGCTTGTGCATTACCATCGGTCGGTTGCACCCACCATCTGAGGAGAACTTTGATCTTTTCATAATTCTTACAGCAATCTTCCGATTTATTAGTTGTAAATTCGAAATGAAATTCGCTGTGGAGAAAAAAGTGAAGGGACACACCATGTGCTATAGTAACTCTTGATTGGATTCATGTACGTGGAATCAAAAGGATAAAAGAGAATTTCGATATTTAGTAACTGGGTAAACAATTTGATGGGTGACACATTTGAGTGGATCCTTTCTTCAGTAGGGGTCTGTTTTTTTAGGGTGTCGATCAAACGTACTGTTGCACTACTTTGTGGTCACCTCAAATCCTTCAAAGTTTTATCGTTGAAATCTAACAATCGATATCAATAGAACATCGATATGCACCACTGACACATTTTATCACGTTTCAAAACTGAATAAGTTTGATGAATTCCTACGCATTCGTTGCGCAGTATAATAACTTTAATTCGCAAAAGAAACTCCATTACAGCACTGAAAGCAGCACATTAACGTCGCGCTGTCATGCTTACTAGTGATGCAAATGGAAGAACAAAGATATCACAATTTAGGATTTAATAAAGAATATAAAACTTGGACATACAATCAACCCTCAGTTCATGTTACCCCTTCAAAAGTTAAGAATTAGAGCGTTCTGTTACTCTCAAATATTAATTTTGCTGATTTGTGGCTGTTTACTTGTACTTTGAGAAACGGACGTTTAGTCTAAAATGAAGACGGTAGAGGAAAGGTGCTGACAATATATTGCAACACTGATACAAGAGTTGAAAACAAACTTTGAAGATTAGGAAAAAAATGCAAATTATTCAAAAACATATTTCTATCAGTAAGGATTTTGTTTTCCTGATACGAATGCTTCATCGAGCTGCTCAGAGTAGCGTATTGTCTTGGATTACGGTGGGCTGTGCTTGCGAAAGAGTTAGTGCGATCCCAAGGCAATGAGCACCTATCTGCGCAGCAAGATTTTAGATGGATCCACACCAGAAATTGGTTTAGATAATCCTTGTGCAGTGTCCCTCTGATCCGCACTTGGGTTTACAACAACAGATTCTGGAAAAGTGAATCTGAGGCTGCAAACGAACTCTCTAGCATCACCAATGCCTTGTCCACCTCAACAGGATCAGGGGTGATTGTTTGACACTCGCGTCTGAAACTTGTTCGCATTCGAACTGATATCGAAGGGAGAGTTTGTTCGGCAGCATGTGCCTCTGAACTACCTACTGCTACTTAGATACCTACTTTGATGCTGGACTCCTGGCCTTGATCATGAGTGTATGCTGGACTATATACCTGAGTGCTTTACAACGAATGTCTGCTACATTCTCCTCATAACTGTCTTTTGTTATGCATAAAGTTTTGTCTATGAAAGCCATCTCATGGATTAGGCAGGGGTGTTAGGAAATAGTACCAATGAACTAGTGATATGAATCATATATATACATATATTGTTTTCTCTTCTAGTTGTGACCTGCACCAACGGTAGACATTGAGTATATGTTTTCGAAGCAACTGCTTGTGAGATTCATTTTCTGTTCTTGCTCTAGCAGGCTGAGATTATCGGCGACGTGGAGCTTCAAATGCAGGTAAGAGGTCACCTCTTTCTCCTTAATTCTCCTTTCTTGTAAGTTTTGGAACTAGAATTTTGTTGCGTACTCTTTGAAACATCTCTGTGTGCATGGAAGTGCCAGAAAAGCCGCCTTTTGACAGCTGGGTTCTACATCAATACTCCAAGCCTTACTGTTCATCTTGACTTCAAATAATGCATACCTGAGTGCATGCAGATACCGTAGAATCTAAACAATAAAAATAAAAACACACTGGCCAGAGATGAATATTAAGCAGTATAATAAGTTATTCCAGGTTTTTAGTTCATATCAGTGTACGAAAGAACAATCACCCACATTCAGGAATATAGCAACTTGGAACCTCTCACTACGGCAAGATTCTTAACAGCAGTATGAGTACAATTTATTTTATTTTCATAACAAAACATAGTGCACTGTTTTGTATTATCAAAGCACATCATGCCAAGTCACCCCAAGTTATGCAGAAATTCATTTCCCTCTCATAGATTAAAATCTCTGAAGCTTGTACCATATCTAGTGGCAATGTTAAAACATAATCTTTTTGGGAGTACTTGGAAATGATGGAACTGGGCTGTTACTTAGAACCACTTTCTGGTCAACAACAGGCAATAGATAAGGTGTCGGTGATTTTATTTTCAGGTCAAGGTAGCATGTTCATTGAAAAGCATCTATTGGACTAGCGTGAGACATTATTTAAGGGAAAAGCCAAAATAAATGCCAGTTTCTCAAAACTGGGTAGTGAAAATTTTGAAGCCTTTTTGGCTTCTGTACATCACTTTGCCAATATATTTTGAGTTATTTTATTCCTCAGTGGCCATTGCTAAAAATGTGGATATTTTAAAAGCCAAGAATCTTATGAAACATTTGATGATTAGTAATACACATGCATACCAGTCTCCATTAATATGAAAAATATGCTTTTAGCTTTCTCAGGAGTCCATGGCACAAAAGCATCTATGATAATCAATTTATGTGCCTTGTGTCGGACTAAAACAGTCAAAATAACAAGAAACTGCATGATTTTAATTGGTGCATGAGTTTCTTTACATTGCAAAATCTAATACAAGATTTTGATTATAGAGGGAAATTACAAATGTGTATAAATGTGTATTTATATTGGTGATGTTTATAGTCCAAGATAACTATTTTTAAAGTTATTTCAAAACTACACATGATTTTTTGTATATTATATTTTTAAAATAAAAAATAAAAGTTTGAGATATATTTTAAGATCATTTTGTTACTTTGTAATACACAATATTTTCTTTGCTAAGTTGTCTCCTAATAAGTTATAATTCCCAATAAAGTATAAAAAAATGTGGGAACTCACCAAGTTCTATGACAATTAAGTTATAATTCTTGTAAGCTATTAGTTATGACCTTCACAAAAGAATATAACTTTGTAGAGGAAAAAAACAGTAAAGAATCTAGCTTAGTTAGGAATCAAGTGTGCTTTGTAGGAGGCCTTTAGTATGCAACTTCTACTGAATGTCACGAAGAATCTTGTCGATAGTGTATTCATCTACATCTCCAATGTACAACAATGGAAAGGCTCCATAGCTTCTTAGTGCACATGAACAACACTGCCACTGAGTCTTCCTCAAGAGTGTTGTCAACATCTTCATCTTCCTTTGTTTGTTGATGATGAACAAGCTCAACAATCTTGTGATCATTTAGCTTGATATACATACCATTTGCTTTGATTCAATTGAAGAGATTCTTGATTGATATTGGATTCCATAATAAAAGAATCCAAATTATGCCTATCAGCTCTTCTTTAACCTTTTCTTTACCATTGTCAGTTTTTGTAACTTTGGGTGCATGCTCAAACAATCTAGTATACTTGAAGCAGTTTTGTATTGTTGTTAGAGATAATTCTTCCTAAGTCGTAAGTGACCAATGCATTGCTATTAATTAATTGACCTTATGTAAGTTGAATTCATTTTGATCATTCTGCAAATAGAAGCGCCAATAGTGTCATTTGAATGTCAAAATAATTCTAGCATCCATTGACTGGATCTTCAAAGTAGTATTTGGAGAAAGTGCATAGATATTAACATTGAGAGAAACCTCTTCATTTGTAATGTACAATGGTATGTTGTCCATGAGGAGAAGGATCCATTGACACGCCCTCTTCATCTCTTTCTTGAGCTTTTTCAACCATTCTTGAAAGAAAAATCCTGGTCATCCATGCTTTCTTGTTGGAACAATAATAAAAATCCAATTGTTTGTATGTGTAGCAATTGAAGTAGCTAGACTTATAGGCATGGCTAATAAAATAAAAAAATGGAAATTTGTGGGTTCCATCAACATTTGCTGTAAATGCAATGGTGATTCTTGTATTTTCCTTCTTATAGCCAACAATTTGTTATTAAGCAATGGTTTAGTCTGGTACCATATTGTAAAACAATCTTGTTTCATCCATATTATGTACATCATACAAATTATAGCTTGCAATGTGGGCACATAGAATAAGCATTGCTACATTAATACAAACTTGATCAACTGAGCCTGCCTTTCTATTCATTTTTATAACTTTTAGCTTGTGAAGAAGAAGAAATTTCTCAAACAAGTCAATCAAAAATTTGATTTTATCTTCAAAGATTATAAGTATCTTTGCAAAGCATTGACGAGATCCAATGACAATAATATATTTCAAGATTGATGTTAGAGAATCTATAGAGTAAGTACTTCTTCAAGTCAAAAAAGTGAATTATCTTTGAGTACTTTGCTTGAAGTTGGACGTTGTCTATTACTTCGAACTCGTCATATTTCTTTAGGATCTTGCTACTACTAACTTATGATCATACTTTCATAAGCCTAAACTCGATTTTGATCTACTCAGTAAGAATCATCTATTAGATCAAAGGTTGCACATCTTTATATTTGCAGCTTTGTAATTGCTAGGTATTGGTGAAATACGACATAATATGCCATGATAAGGTGTTGGGCATGCATGGAGAAATAGACTAGGCAAGCAAGAAGTATATATTTCGGACAAATTCATAATTTTGGCAACCTTAATAAGTTTTAACCTCTTGTAAGTGATGTTTTAGAAGGTGAATCAACCCTACCTATATATATATATATATATATATATATTGATAAAAAAAAATACTGAATATCATATTGATAAATTTTGAATTAGACATTAGTTTGTCCAACCATAAACTTCAAAGAAGTATAATTATTAATTAACCTTTTAATTAATTCTCAAAAAATGAATTTAACATTACATCTATTGTAGTAAAAATAAAATAAAAAACCAAGTTACAAAATACATCTTGACAAACTGATGTAGCATTTTTTAATGAAATAATTTTATAGAAACAATTTGCATATACTGTGTATCTAAGCCACTTTTATTATTTTTTGTTAATTATATACAAGTACCTTTCAAATGAAGTGAAGTTTATTCCACTTCTTCATTGAATATATAATTTGGGCTCTTTTCCTCAAATCACGTGTTGAAATTTTTCTCAAGGATTCAGTACAATGAGATAAAGCACACAAATATGAAAGTATGAGCTTGAGTACAGAAATAATAAGGACAAAAACAATTGGATTTGACTTTATAAGATATGTAAGTCAAATCTTATAAAGTAATTTACAAAATGGCAACACGTCATTATTCCCACCATCTCAATTACAATTATTTTGTGTACTGTTTACAAACATAAAAGAGTAAGTCTTTTCTTCTTCTTTTCCCTTCT